TATATATATATATATATATATATATATAATATGTTATGATAGAACGCGGACACCGCACTCGTCGGCCGGTGACATGCAGGTTGGTGGATGGGGGAAGAGCTTTATGGGGTATGCAGTGGTCTCAAAACATCAATATAATATTATAGCCTGGAATCTGGATGATAATAAGTTACGACGTTGTTACATTAATACATTTATATGTTACCTATATACACTATCGTAATACTTATTTTTAAAAMACATATTTATATGAATATAATGCTTATATGCTTTATGGAGGTAGGTACATAATACAATTATACACTGCAGTGTGCWCTATGCAGTGAACACGGATAAGTTTCGATGCACTAAAAAGTTTTGTAGTGCATTCGCGTTTGTGCATCCTTATTCGGTTATTCCTTGGATGTGTTATGCACTAGGTACCTGCACCACCGCTCGTCATACCAGATCAGGATTAATTAACAAAGCAGTCCGATGTATAAACTAACAAAAAGTTTATTTCATTAACAATTTTTTCAATTTATTTACAGAAAAAAAAAATAAAAAAAAATAAATAAATATATTTATATAGGTATACATTATACATTATATAATAATAATATTAAATAATAATACATTAAAATATATTGTACACAAACATGAGTGAATTATGGTAATCCTAACATTAAATGGTATTAACAGTAAATATAAATAAAGATATAAATACTTAAGAACATATTAAAAGTAGATGATTTAGTCAATTAAACACAGACACAATAGTCATAACAGTATGCCTGTATAATTTTAGTTTATCCAAATAATCTATAAATATATTAAGAAATAAAAGGACAATCTTCTTATAAGTTTATAACTGGCGAACTATAATATTTGAATAAACAAAGGCTATTAAAAAAAAAATAATAATAATAATAATAATAAAAAAAAAAAAAAAAAAGACAATATAAAATAAATGTTGACGATCTTAGCGATTTTCAGTCAACCACAATGTCATGTACATATGCACATGCGGTGAGTGTGTATGTATACATGTATACAGACTTTAAAAGTATATAATATATTTTGTTAGGTAGGTAATCATATCCAATTTGCCATCAAATCACTCATGAACCATAGTATAAAATATGTTCACGTTTTTTTTTGTAACCATTGATTTCATCATGAAATCAATGCTGTAAGTAACTAAACAAATAATCTTAACATCCTATGTTATATAGGATTGCTATAACTAAACAAATAATTCATAACATCCCATACAACTTAAATGCCGGTCAAGAGCGGACCAGTGGCATAAAAACATATGAATCTACTTAAACCATGATAGGTGAGTTGTTAATATTATTAAATTTCTTAGAGAATAAACTTTAAGGGGTTTTCAGAAGAAAAATGCGATGGATATTTACATACGATTAACTACATTTTATTCCTTTGCCTTATATTCAGTGCAACTGTTGAGTACAAATTACTATTAAAATGAAAAATTTTCTTTTTGGTGGTTAGTCTTACTATTCAGATAGGTATAGGAACTTTTATTCTAAAAATGTATCATATTATAATATATCTATTAATTTTTGACGTAGGTTAGCTATAATATAAAAATGTTAAGAGATGGTAAGATGAACTAGAAACTTTCTGGTTGAACGTTTAAGATTGAAAACACGTGTCGAAAAATATATAAGTACTAAAAAATGTCAACGCGTCATTATATTTAATGGTAAAACGTACTCAGGTTTTCAAACTGTAAGATTTCAATGGTTTTATAGAAACAAACTACACTCCGCGGTGTATCTATACTCAAATTATTCATAGTAATTATGTTTTTCTTGCTACTGGTCTACCCTGCGACCCGCAAACGAGTTTCACTCTCATACTGAACTACAGTAATAAAAAACATCAATTAAAAAAAAAAAATAATAATAATAACAGATTAGCTTTAGTATGTGGGTTGCTCTCGCTACCATGTTGACAAACTCACAAACTAGCCACTGTATCAAATATAACTAACATAATATTTATGTTATAAACTTCAATAATACTACACTTAGGATTCAAGCAAAATATATGTATAAATAATATAGTGTTCAGATTTTAACTATATTATTACACATATTAATTATTATTAATACTAAAAATATAAATCATTGATAAGTTGTTCGGTTAAGACAATGCGTGTACAATAATATCATAATCCTGCGATTTAAATTAAAAACGAAAAGGAAATACAAACAACAACAATAACGAAATATTAATTATGTGTATAGTCTATAGCAATGTAAAAATATGATAAAAAAAGATTATTATAATTTATTATAATAATAAATAGATGACTATAATTGTATTGTTTTGATTAAATGTTTATAGAATAATATGTTAAAAATGATTTACTCCGCTTGTATTATTATACAAACATACCGAACATAGACTTATATAGTAGAATACTAAAAAAAATACTTAAAATTACTTACATATAAATATATGTATTTAATAAAAAACGAAAMTGACACTGTCTTTAGTGGTTTCTTTTTGATATTTACATTTATAAAACGTCAATACGTTATCGTTATATATATATGTATTCATATATAAATGTGTGTGTAAAGGTATATAATAAATTTAGGAGAATGATTTTGTCCGGATATTAGTGAACGTTTATTTTTATATAATGTTTTGTCAAAATGTTTAAAGATGAATTTTGCGAGAAGCGGATAGGTAAATTTGTCGTCGTCTTGCGATATTTTTTCTTCTGTTTTGGATAAGATGTTGACGACATGTAGTTTTAGGTTTTTCCTTTTTGGTTTACAATTGCCACAATGGGTTCTTGGGGTTAATACCTATAAATAAAATAAAAAAATACATTATTCATCACTTTCGATATTTTTTCTGTTCTTTTTCGAATCTTGGTCTATTATGCGTATTTTGTAATATAATATACTACATACATATTTTAATGCATGTGTTATATAGTATTACTATATACGTAGTAAGGGGTACGAGTCATGGGTATAAGTAAGAAGCCTGTAGCCGTTATGTTAAGAATTTAAGATGTTAGGTATGTTAGGATGTCGAAGTTGCAGTAGGGCTAAATGTGTTMTTTTTTGCTATTGTTACATTATAAGCTTTATTTTATGAGAATCACGAAAAACAACTACAATATGCTGGGATTAAGTCTTAGATGGATTTACCAAGAGGTAGGTAAATCACGCATCCAACGGAAATTAAAAATCAAATGAGGCATATGTACCTATATTTTTTTGGCTATTATGTGCTAATTTCATTAAAAACAATATGATATACATTCAATTAGTATAATTTTTTCCATTTTCAAAATCAAGAACAAATTTAGAAGAAATGTTTGCATTTTTKTTTTTCAAAAATTATAAAATGGCGAGATATTATTATTATTATTTTTTGAATATATATATTTTTTTTCCGTTCAAAAAACCAGGAACGGGTGCGAAATGTTTAGCACAATACTTGAATATCTACAACCACTCAGAAAAAGACCGCTCATCATAAAACCACGTACAGTCCCCTTTGGTTTTAGGTACTAAACACCACAACAACACACACGCACATCATCAAAGAGTTAGTACTTAGTATGGTGCACATATTATTATAATATTGTTATTGTTGTCGGCAATACAGGCACATGTTAGAATTTATCAGTTATCTTTCCGTTCTCGAACAACAACATTGTTATTGTCAATATATATATATACGTAAAGATAAAAAACCGAATACGAAATAATAATGGTTAAAAGACACAAGCAGCAGCGGCGTCGGTAAAAGAGGAGATTAACACACCAACTCGAACGGCTTTTATTTATTTATTGTTTTTTTTTTTTTTGCGCGGCTATAATAATTGTTACTGAAATTTACGGACACCCAACTACTCGCACTCACTCCCGGACATCCCTTTCTGCAAGCCGCGGCGTCTTTGCAGGACGTGTGCCATACCGCCACCGCCGCCAAAGGACAAACGATGCCGCGCCCCGCCCGTACACACACGATCCTTTAAATTTATAGAGCAATAAAACTGGGGTGAAAAAATAAAACGTATCCCAGAGTCCATTAAAAGAGATGCGATAAACGATGAGAACAAGCGGCCACCGCACTGGACATCATAGGTATATACAAAATACACGCGAGCAGTGGCATGGGTATGATACCCATCATTATTATTATTACGAGAAACAGGGCGCAAGCGTTTTTATTTTCAACGAGTTGCGTTTGACGGTTTTCGACGGACACGTTTTTGAAATATTATCGAATTAAATAACGATAATCCCGAAAATCGATTCGGCCTTTTTGTTTAAATCGAAAAACGTGCAAAAAAAAAGGTTGCTGAAACCGTGAAAAAAACTTTTCTCTCTCTTCAAAATCCCAAAGTACTCCACCGACGACGAAGCGATCATCGTGTTTGTGTTCGAGGTGTGTTTACTCAACGGCAACACGGCACAGTTATATATTATTATTATTATTATTATTATTATTATTATTATAAAGTGTGTCGCGGAGATGAGAAAAAGTTGACGAAATCACGTATATTCGACGAGTGGCACGCATGGGCCCGGCCTTTTATAGTCCGATAATAATAATAATAATAATAGTCGGTCGGTAAATATTGCCGTGGATGGGAGTCGGGCGGKGGAATAAAAATCGCAATACTAATAGTGCACCACGTAAACGTGAGTCGTATAAGAGAAGCTTATGAAAATATATTTTCCCGCGAATGTATCAAATGATGTTCAAGAGAGAGAGAGAGAGAGAGAGTTTTTTAATGTATATACGATGATCGATGTGCGTGTGGTATGCGCGRTATACCTACTGCAACTATATGAAAAAAATGTTAATATATATATCGTGTTTGCGGGCTTGAAAAAAGCAACTAAACGTAAGATCTAAAAAAAACACACACAAATTTATATATATATATAACAGGTGTATATTATGGTGAAAATCATCGCAATCGCTACTGCTGCTGAGAAAATGTGATTTATCGGAACGGGTGGTCGTATAGCGAAACACGTCGYGGTCTCTAGCGCGTGTGGGTTGCAGGGTTAACAACACTGTACTATACGGTTTTGTCATTAGAACGTTTTGTTAATGTCTAGTGAGGAGGATTTGTCGGGACTGAGCAAAGTCTCTCGCCTTGTGTAATATGTACGATGTCGTCGGTGCACCTGCTATTATATGGCTTGTACAGGTTCCTGTAAGAGTTGTGCCTCAGTATTTTCGAGCTCGGTTGTGTAGTGGTAGAGGTGTTTGTGACCATGGTTGCGGTAAATGACGGTTTGCAATCCTTACACTTATTCCTTGAGTGTGTGGACAAGTCCAATGCCTGCGGCTCCATCAGCGTGGCCGTCACCATGGTGTTGATGAAACTGCTGCAAAAACATAAACGGCGTCGTTAAAATCGCTGTACAGCCATACAAAATAATTTTATCATAATAATATACTTCATCGACTAAACATAACGTGCAGCACGGCATAAGTGGGGCGACCGAATATATTACTATTATTATCAACGTTGGCGGTTCGATCGCGCAGTAAAAGCACGCAAAAACGTGTCAATTGTAAAACCGACAACGTATACGCGTTTTCAGAGCATTTTCGAAAAAAGATTTTCCGCGCCATCATACACCGTACATTGTTATAATATTATTTTCGTTATCATTCTATCAATAGGACACGCGAGCTACAGTGAGCACGTCGCAGACGCGTCGTCCTCGTTATCGGRCGATTATCGTCGTTGTTATATAGCGTAATATAATATATTATTGTGTTATTATTATTATTGTTGTTGTTATGTATCACGAGTGCCCCCCCCACCCAGTTCGATGCGTCTGACCTCGCAGTCCGAAAAAAAATTTATGATAACGATTCTGTCGCGTCGTCGAGTCTCGACAAAGAAAAAAAATCCAATGGTAAAAAAAAAAATTAATAAAACTCGTCGTCGCCGTCTACTTAATATCGTGTGATGTTGTGTATACGAGTGGCGATTCGGTTTTATCAGACCGCGTCAAATAATAATAATAATAATAACGGCTACACCTATATATAACACCGGTGTTCGATATAAAATAATAATATTATTTTACACAATAGATCGATCGACCCGAAAATGAAAATCTCGACCGCCGATCTCGTGTGTCGGCGACGGCGGCGGTCGGTCGGTCATTGGATTTTATTATTATTATTATATTATGCGCCGCGGCTCGGCACGACGACCGCGACGGCGACGCGGTGCCCCTCCGGGCACTCCGCTTCCCGACACATGGTGCCGCCGCTGCTCCTCCGCGCGCCAGTTCCGAAGCGACGAGACGGCCGCCACCGCCGCGCCGCTACCGCAAACTCGGCGAGGACGACGTCANGTGAAACCGCCGACGACAATATACGCGTCGGTTGTAAAAATTTCCGAAAAAAAAATGGTATATATATTATAACACATATAATAATATATAATATATATACATAAGTTGTACGTAAGGCGGGTTAGGTTAGGTTAGGGGTGGGTGAGCGCTGCGCGAAATGACCGAGTGAGTCGGCGTGTGGGTAAAGGGGTTGGGGGTTGCGTAGTGCGAGTTATCCCCTACGGATAAGAGGATATTCCAAACGACGGCGGCGTCGGCGGTGGGTGTGTGTGGGGTTGTGGGGTATACCCGGCAGGCAGCGAAGGAGGACAGGTAACGTGTGTGTGACGTGGAGGCGGACGGGTAGAAATATAACGACCCGGCGGCGGTGGCGTTGGCGAGGGAGAAGATTCACCCCCGCGGCCGGGGTACGCGTGTGTGCGTGTACGGGTTTTACGACGCGCGAGGAGTGCCCTTCGAAACGAGTTTCGGTTTAACCGCTGCTATCCGCCGTCGCCGCTGCCGTCCAATAACAATGTCAAACAGGCGCGCGCGCACCAACAGAAATGTCACAGAACAAAAAATACGGTTTCCACGTTCGTTCCCAGAGTTCCGGAAAAAAAAAACCCAAATGACGCGAGAAACCGTTGAAAAGTTTGCGCAAAATGTGGTGCCGCCGCTGCTCCTCCGCGCGCCAGTTCCGAAGCGACGAGACGGCCGCCACCGCCGCGCCGCTACCGCAAACTCGGCGAGGACGACGTCACGCAATCATCGCACGAGACTCGCGGTCCGTCGTGGTCCGTATTCGCTTTTTTTTCATCGTATTATTTTATTTCCTTCTCGTTTTTTTTTTATTTTATCCCGCCGTCACCTACACACGGCGGCGACGCGCGATACACAACGCTGACGCGTTTAGCGAAATTACCTCGACTTGTTGTAGGAATTTTCCGCAGTGAAATTCGGAGTGAGAAAGTTGACTGAACCTGGTAGCGGAGCCGTCTGCAACACAAACAAAAAAAAAAAAAAAAAAAAAAAAAAAAAAAAAGAATACAAATATTAGTGACTGCCGTGTTCAACTTGTTTGGACTGTGCAAAAATACGAAAAACGTACTACTGCACGTGTAGGGTACAATAAATAATAACTAATCCATGATAAGTAATGAGCCATATCCTATAATATACGCTATATACGGCCGGCAGTTATGTAAATCGGCGCGAGTGTCGGCGTGGGGGGAGAGGGTGGAGGACGAAACCGAGCAAAGTCGTCGTCGGTCATCATCGGTGCGGACGGTGCGGTGTGGTGCGCTGCTTGTGCGTGTGTCACGGTGTACACACAAT